GTCGTAAAAATGAAGATATGTTTTGGAATTAGGTGTGGTTGAAGATGGCGATAAAAGAAAGGGCCACGAGTATCAACAGTAGAAGCAATGTGTACCTAAGAAACCCTCTTTTGGTGGCATTTTATCTTGCGTCCATGATTTAGGGCTTTCTTTCACCTCATGATCCGCCGAACCACTAGCAACTTCTCTGCTCTATCTCTCTATCTCTCTCTCTCTCTCTTTCTCTTTCTCTTTCTCTCTCTCTCTCTCTCTCTCTCTCGTTAGGGCTTTCTTTCACCTCATGATCCGTCGAGTAGATGCCAGTTTGTGTTGCATTTTAGACCCTTTGGAGGTATAAATCTTATACCTTGGCTTCTTTTCACTTAGACCTTCTTCTAGGGTTGCATGTTGTCATTTTTGGGCCATTTTCGAGTTGTGAGCTTTTTGGGATGTAAGGACTTCAGATATGGGCATTCTTGAGATCTAGAAGCTCAAAGTTCCCACCTTTATTCGGTCATGACCTCATTCCATGCTTTAGGTCTTCATTTTAGCTTGGTTTGGGTGTTTTAGCTTCATAGCACCATGCATGCACGTAAAGTTAGCAACTTTAGATGTTATGCTAACCTAAGGAGTCCAGATCTGTGAGATAGAAGCATTGGAAGTGATTAGAATCGATTGTATGGCTTTGGCATTCAAGGGACTCAACGAGTTGTTCATATGACTCGACGAGTCGAGTCGTGACCCCTAAACCTTTCTGTTTTCGAGTGAGCTCGTTGAGTGAGTAAGTAACTCAACTAGATGGACGAGATCTAGAATAAGAAGTTAAAGAACTCGGTGAGTCTGTGAAGGGACTCGACAAGTTGACTCGTTTTGTCCCGAATCTGTACTAGATAGAACTCAGTTGGTCTGCGAAGGGACTCGACGAGTTAAATCAGTTATCACGGGTCTGATAGCATAGAACTCAACGAGTTAGCAGATAACCCGGTGAGTTGGGTTGACTGGGAGTTGACCTTGACTTTGACCTTGACCAAAGCGTTGATTTTGACCAAGGGTAAAATGGTTATTTTACCATGAGAAGGATTTTTAGATCTTGACTAAGTATTATTGTGATTTTGATAGCCGGGGAGACGTTGGAGCAGCTATCAGATATTCCCCACCGTGAGAGTTCACAGACAACTTTGCGAGGTGAGTTTTCCTCCAATAGGAACGGGTCGAAGGCACCAATGTCGACCCGTTTATGTATTTAGAGTATGTCGGACTTTGGTCCGATGTCGGGGTTAGCCCACTGCAGATTATATGTTTCCAGTCTTCGGTCCGATGCTGGTGCAGTCCCGAGAAGAGTATATGTATGCTTAATGTCTTTGTGATTCATGCATGTTATGTGTTGTATGTTCCAGGGCAAGCCCAATGCATGTTAATTAGATGTTATATGTTATGATATGTGTTATGTGTTCTGGGGCAAGCCTGATGCATGTTATTTATGTGTTATATGGTATGCTATGTGTATATGATATATGATATGTTGTGTATGTGTTGGGGTAAGCCCGATGCCAGGGTAAGCCTAATGCCAGACGTAGTCTAATGCCGGGTGAGCCTGATGTCGGGCAGGAGTCCGATGTTGGGTTTGTCCCGATGTAGCTTGGCGGTGTCCTATAGTTGTATTAAATGTTATTTGATATATGTGTATGGTATGTGGTAGTTTGGGGGAGCTCACTAAACTTCTTGATTACAGTTTTCAGTTTGGTTTCAGGTACTTAAGATAGCAAAAAGGAAGGGATTGGGGTGATCTCATAGCATACACCACAATTTCCAGCCTGTGATATTTACTTTGATATCTGATACATGTTTTGATACATTGACAGATTTTTATGATGTTTCGAGTTACATGACTTATGTTTTGATATGAAGTTTGATATTCATGTTTTTCGGTAATGATTTAAAACAAAAATCTTGGATTGTATTTTTGGGATGTTTCAACATGAAGTCTAATGAATAACACCTTTACTTTCAAAAAAGGATTTCATGTTATGATTTAAAAATTCAGTACCATTATGATACCTCACTTTTTTAATTTTAACTTCAAATTGATTGAACAAAATATTAAAGAAAGCAGTAATACAATTAAAAACTTTACTTTTAGATTTTAGCAAATATACCCAAGTTGTCCTAGTGAAATATCTACTATAGTAACAAAAAAACATAAATGCTTCTGAAGTGGTCACCCTATAAGGACATCACACATCTAGATGAATTAACTCAACTAAGCAAGAAGAGACATGTTGACCAGATGAAAATGAATTCCTTATTTGTTTAGCCTTGTGGCAAATATCACAAGGGGTAAGGATTCATTACCAAAGTTAAGTTTAGTTTTTAAAGAGTTTAGGGCTTGATCAGATGGATGACCAAGTGTATTATGTCATGTAAGCTTAGAAACATAGCATACAAAAGAGTTAGAACTAAAATATTTACCCAAAGGTGCACTATCTACATAATAAGAGAATTAGTTGGACTTAAATCAAAATCATCAATGTGTTAATGTAAGAACCCCAATTGATTCATCTTAAAGATGATCAAGTTATGAATATTATTTTAAAGTTAAAGTATCAAAACTGGGTGTCAAAAAGGTAATTCAAAAATCAAACCATTACCATATCATAAAAGAAAAACATGACCATATCATAAAATAAATAAACTGACGATTCTTGATTGTAGTACAAGGACATTAAAATATTATCAATAATTAGTGGTTGAATATCTATTGTATTGCAATTAAAATATATGTATGTGATTCGAATGCAGAGGATCCAAGAATTCATGGTGCATTCTTCACAAAAGACATATATACGATTTTTAATTTCATTTTTTTAAACTAAAGTACATAATTACATTTATATTGCTTACTAGAACTGTTTGTTTTATTGTTTATGGTCTGCGCGCACAAAGGAACAAAAGGAAATCATCAAAATTGGTATATCTTATTCTTTCCCTTCCATCAAATCACACCAGATAAATAGATATGTACCCCTTCCCCTTTAATCAATCAACATTCTAGGAAAAAATATTTGATTCTTCTTGGTGTGCGATGAATATAAGAGCGTAGGAGGAGCATGTTGTGAACGACGACTTGGAGGGTTGCCTCAATTAATTAGCTGTTGATGGTCGTTCACAGGTGGCAGATACAGTTGCTTAACGAACTGAAACCTTGTCGATGGAGTTCTATCAGTGGCCGAAGGATGATGTATTTTTGACGACACCATTGCTTCTTGATTGATGGAGATGAAATGGGTGGTTGTCAACAGCGGTATTGGTGAGCACCAAGGGTCTATCCACTATGGAGAGCTGACCATCAGAGTGAGTTCCAGAATGGCAACTTGGAGGCTCGTTAGGGTTCAAGATGACATATGAATGAGAGAGAGAGAGAGAGAGAGAGAGAGAGAAGAGTCTATGTAAAGTTCATTAGCCTGGTATTTAGAAAGAGAAATTCTCTATACCAAAACTAGCCCTAGCTAATTAATAAAAAATTAAAATTAATAATTAATGACTAGTCAGAAATTAGTTATACATTTATAAAATATTTATTTGTTTATAAATGAACCTCTCTCTCTATATATATATATATATATATATATATATATATATATATATATATATATATATATATATATATATATATATATATATATATATATATATATATATATATATATATATATATATATATATATACTAGCAAATAATTTCTTATGCAGAAATAATTATTAGATTTTATTATTAGTTATTTTATAATAAAAAATACACATTTTAAATAAAATATTTATGTTTATATCGTATGTTTATATTGTCTGATTATACCATTAATATAAAATAATTAATACTGATGTTTAGTCTAAGAAATATTGTACACATGAATTTAATATTTTATAATCTTCATTTAATCCAAATTGAATTTGTTAATTATTTTCCTTAATTTAAGGAAAGTAACTTATACTTCTTAAAATTCAAAATATGACTAATATACTTTATAATAATCTTCATTTAATCCAAATTAAAAATTTTAATTACTTTCCTTAATTCAAGCATTCAAATTTTGACAAAGATTAATGAATTATCTATGCATAATTGATTTGTATAAAAAGTTTTGTAACTTATACTTTTTAAAATTCAAAATATGACTAATATTTTTATAATACAGTATAAGATATATTTGCAATTTCAATTTATGTCTAATGTCTACCATCAAAGAAAGCAAAAGTTGTGTTTCCCTAAAATGATAATCTTTCTATTATTTGAAGCTTTGTTGTTTTAAACTCATTACCAAACATGTTTCATAACTCCGAACCAATTTCTAACATGCAACCAACAATCCGAAGTCCCTAATTAGAAACTTCTGAGGATTTAGAATTTTACCTCCCAAGTCTGATTTCATAGCTAAAATTGAAGTGTGTGGGGTCGACCATCACTAAAACTGACTACTTTTGCTGTAGTCCAGCAGCCGAAACGGCTTTTCCCCCACTCATATGTAGCCCCTGGCTGCTCTTTACTGCCTTACCAGTTTCAATCTTTCACCCTTTCTTGTTCCTCTCTCACTCGAATCCTCTCTATGCCATTGCCGACCACCGCACACACACCACACACATACTCTTGTCTGATTTCTTTTACTAAAACAAAGAAATTGACTCTTATGTACGTTGCTCTAGTGAATTCTTTATTATATTAAATAGTAGGATCAATTCTATTTTTCCAACTTAATTGTTTTTGCTTTTTAATTTTCATTCTCTGCTTCAATTTCATTTTCTGTTTACCAAAGAGGCACTCTTTTGGGCAAAGAGACAACAAAAATCATACTTAAAAAGGAATAAATGTTCATAAAAACACACTACTTAAAAACTTGTATAACCTTTATAAAAGTTATATAGAGCAACCACAACAATCTGTATTCTATTATGAGTTTGTGTTCTGTTATGAGTTTGTAGCCACCCATGCACTTCAGATGTGACACGGAAACATCCAACGATTAGAATTTACAAAGGCCATTTATTATTGAAGAAATCAAACCTCTTCCCCCTAAAAACAAAATTCGATATATCTCTATTCATTCTGTCTGTCCACAACATTTGATCAGATGCATTGACAAGATGAACCTGTTTTGTTTCCCCATCAAGCCTCTTCCCTCTAAAATCAAAATTCGATATATCTCTATTCATTCTGTCTGTCCACAACATTTGATCAGATGCATTGTCAAGATGAACCTGTTTTGTTTCCCCATCAAGTAATTGCTGTTCGTCATCGCCTTCGTATATTAAGTTTATACAACATTCGTCTACTACACCTGGACCCATAATGATGTGTATAAAAATCTCATCTCCAGCCTCCAATAGATTGCCACACCTCCAAAAGCTTAACCATGCGAGCTTTTCCACAGTCCTAGGGATTTCTTGATTCTTTTTTTGGTATGTCCACCACACATGCTCAGTCTTATTATAAACTTCAATCTTCAAAAAAGGACAGCATTTGTTTAAATGATAGAACACGACACACATATTGAAGCCATTTATTCTCAAATTGTTATGATGCCAAGGAACTTTGAATGAAATTTGTTTGCCCTTTTTTTTATACATGAAGAACGAAGGGATCTGTTTCTCTGGAACATAGGTGCTGAATATACCAAACTCATGTAACACCTGTGAATGACAGACACACCAGTACTTGTTATTTAGTTTAATTCTCAAGCTTAGCCTAGAAGAAGCATACAAACCAACTAGAGAGAAAGAGAAAGAACCTGAAGACACAAGTCTGTTCTTTCACCTGCATTTGATTCTTCTAAACCCAAATAACGTACGATTTTTCTATCAACTTTATCTACTGATTGAAGCTTATAACGACCCTCCACTTCGCACAATTTTGGGCAGTTATGTTGGTAGACTGCAGTCATGGAAGTTTTTGCAGGCTGTACTTTTTCCAACGACTTATTGTAGTTGGCATACAATGTATGGACAAATTCTGGGAGACCTAGAATTGATTGGATTTTTGAACACCTTTCAACACTGAGCCTCCGTATTGTAGGTAGGGTTTGAATACAGTTTGGTAAGGAAGTAACATAGTTGCCACTTATATTCAAATCTTCAAGTGAGACCAGACCACTCCAGTCATTTGGGAAGGAATTATCAAAGAGATTGCAAAATGAGAAATTTGCTTTCTTCAAAAAAGAAAATGATACAGATGGACGTGAACCAAAGCTTTGGATGCATCCAAGAGCTCCAAGGAATGGGCAACCAGACATTTGAAGCGATGCAATGGATGTAGGTAAGCATGGAAAGTCTCTTAAGCTTCTACAATTGGTTAGATCCAACAAGACTAGTTCTTTAAGGTATGAAATCGATTCACCAACCCGGAGTAAACCCGAACACCCTTTCAGGATCAAGCTCTCAAGACCAGGGAGTCCAGAAAAATCAGGGGTTTCGATTAGCTCAACAGAATAGCTAAGCTTCAGGATTTTTAGTGATCCGATAAACTGCGACATGAAAACACCACTCTCATATTATAAAGAACCTTTCATATTAAACATATACCCAGAAAATGAAAATGTGATGTAAGAAGGTATATTATACCTTGTAGCCATCCCAAACTCGCTTTAGTTTGCTGTAACTCATGTCGAGAACCACCAGCTTCTCCAAAGAAATGTCACATGGTATAGCTTTTAAAGAAAATCCATGCCAACTCAACCATCGTAACTTTTTTGGCAGTTTCTTGTATCTCCCAGAAAACGTTACATAGTTTAGTTGAAGCAGCATTAGGTTCTTCATCTTTTCCAGCGCACCAATTTTGAACTTTGCATCATTTCCATGCATTCTTTTCCCAAGATAGGCTTCAAATCCAAGTGTTGATTTAGTTTCCTTGATCTTCTGCATATCAAGCATGAATCCCTCTACTTTGTTTGTACCCTAATTCAGAAAATGAATCAATTTCTTGATCAGGCTTGACTGATCGACTCTTTACCAAAAAAAATACATACATATATATATATATATATATATATATATATATATATATATATATATATATATATGGCTTAACACACACAATAAATTTAAGTAATGATACATAAAAGGGGTGTGTAAGCATACAGTATGGTCTTGCAACACATCAATACAGTCCTGGTGGTCCCATAATCTACTTCTTTTCCCAGGATTCTTTGGTGATTCCTGGCGAACAACTTCTCGTCCCATCTCCTTGATCAATTGATGCATCATCACTCTCCCATCTTCAACATAAACTAGACATCTATCCATTAGATTCTTGATCCCACCCACAGGGTATAGATCACATTGGTCCAATAGCTTCACAATGTAGTCTTTTTCCTCACCCTCAAAGAAACAAGCAACATGCAAGAATAAATCTTTAACCGTGTCATCTTCCAAAGTCTCATAACTTATTTTTAGAACATTCTGAACCCCGGGATGAGGAATTGCAGCAAGCTTGCGCATTGTATCTTCCCATTCATCATCTGTCTTTCCACGTAGGGAAGAACCCAATACTTTGAGAGCCAAAGGAAGACCTGTGCAATAACGAACAAATGGATCCGACTTGAAAATGTAGGGTTGAATGGGTTGATGATCTTGATGAAAGGCATAAAAACTAAAGAGCTCAACAGCATCATCCGTGGATAATGTTTTAACAGAGTGAACCTTAGGACGAACTGTGAAGGCGGTTGACAACCACTTGTGCCTAGTTGTTATGATCACTTTACTTCCAGGGGCAAACCTTTTAGGTCCTAGTAAAACATCCAACTGTTTTAATGTTGCAACATCATCAAGGATAACAAGTACCTTTTTCATGTGTATGGCATTTTCAATCTTACTGGTTCCTTCATGAATGTTCCATATCATTTCTTCCTTTTCACTCTTCAAAATTGTGGAAAGAAGCTGAGTTTGCAAGCGAAGCAATCCACCGGGTTGATCTGAGGTCTCGCTAATATCTGCGAGAAAGCAACTGGCATCATAGTTACATGAGTTTAAGTTAAATATGCATTTGGCTATGGTTGATTTCCCAATGCCTCCCATCCCATCAATCACAAGGACTACTGCATCAGGTGACGGATCTTGTAACCATGATTCAATCTCAGCAACACTATCTTCTATTCCCACTAGTTTCCCCTCAATGTAAAGGGATTTGTAGTCCAGTTTCTTTCTTACAACATTCACGATGTTGATTATGAATTTGGACTCGTACCTAGAAAGATCAAGTTAGAACAATTACATTTGTAACATAGTTTTTACTACATCTAGTTTAAGTTACACATAAAAATACATCTCTCTTCATACCATGTAAGCCTACAAAGCATAAAAACTAAATTGTTTCATATAAAATACTTTTTCACTATACAAAAAGCATCATATGAATAAAAATGTATCTTTATTTCAACAATACAAATCTATAAATAATATTTTTAGGAAAAAGAAAAAACATATTTTCTTCGAGCTAAAGATTAGATTGAATTTTGTTTATCGAATTTATTTTTAATCTTTTCATGGGTCCAAAGTCCAAACCACACAGAAAACAGATTAATCTAACATGACCGATTTATTGGATGAATGGAGTAGCTCGTTTCCATATAAATGGATCTCATGTGTGATCTGGATCAAGATCCAATCCTAAGTAACACACTAGTGATTTTTTTCTATACAGGATAAGAGGAAGCATGCATACCCATCTTTAAATACCATTCCTGTGAAGTTTGCAGCTTCTTTAAGAGAATATCTCCATGCCCCCACCTTCTCCAGCAATTCTTTCTTCTTTTCAAGGTCTGTTTCTGCATTGATTTCATCATCATACGCATCAAATGCTTCTTTAAAGCTTCCTGTTTGATTTCGGACATCAGATGGGTCTGTTTTATAGAACACAGGTACAACTTCATGCCTGAAGGATGAAGTCTTGTGTTCTTCAATAATCATCAAACCTCATCGAGACACCACATGGAGGATGCATAGTTTTTTGAGAAGACAATGAGTGATATTGCAGCATTGTCGATAGCTTTCTTCAGCTCTGGCTTCAGCAGTTTTCCTCTCTCTGTTGCATCATCCCGGAAAGTGCGGATTCCTGATTGAGTCAAGGCTGTATAGAGATGATCTGTAAAACCATCACGAGTGTCTTCACCTCGGAAACTTAAAAAAACACCATAACCAGAACAGGGTTGAGCAGTAGCCATGGAATGAGAAGCCATTGATCAAAGTAGAGACATGAATGTTGGAATGGAGAAGTCGATATTAAGTCCACTTGAACCCAACTGGTACCTACATACACGACCTATATTTTTCTTATTATTCACATGAAAACAAAATCTTTAGGTAGGGCACCACCGATCGCCAAGTACCACCACAACCCATTAATTGGGTAACAATTAACCTAGATGTGATTACACGACTCTATTTATTTATTGAGCAAGCAAAATACTTTAAAAAGTACCACCATAACAGATAATCGATTCAAACATAACAATTAGGGCTGACAAAAGGATCATATGAATGAAATAAGTGGGTTAACATAACATCTGACGCAAGAAGCAAATCCCCTGAAATTAGACCCTAAAAAAATCTTAAATTCAAAATTAAGAACTAAGAAACAAATCCACTTACTCTGAAAATACAAGATAAGCTATAAAAAAAACCCCTAAGAAATCGTAAAGCAGTATAATCGCAATTCCTGTTGTTGGTGGTGGCAACGAGTACTTGTTCCTGAGTCCTGACTTCGTTCCTTCGTTGTAGTGATGACGACGTCCAGAAATGTTTGGGACTGTATAATAATCCTTAGTATTATTGTCCACCATAAAAAAATAAAGAGTAAATTGCAAAAATGGTCCCTGTGTTTGGCAAAATTATGCGACTTTGATCCAAAACGATAGTTTGATGCACCACTGGTCCAAAATTGGATTTTTCCATTGTTTTTGGTCCCTCCCATTCACTTCCGTCCATATACTCCGTTACATGCAATAAAGACCGGGGTATTTTCGTCTTTCCACATACAGGGACCTTTTTTGCAACCTTATTCAAAATAAAAGCAGAGCTACATCACTCTTCCTTCTTCAACTTCACGAGCTTCATACTCTTCCTACTCTGTGTTCACAATTTCTTAGAGATCAAAAATTAAAATGGTGATGTGTTTCTGTGGTAGGGAAGCGGTGGTTCGCACCTCCTGGACATCAGCAAACCCTGGTCGGAGGTTTCTTTCCTGCCCTCAAAAGGTAAGTGTTCGATTTTGCTATTTTACCCTCATTTTGGAAAATCACCCTCATGTTTAGGGTTTATTTTTTTATGTGAAGGGTTCCAGATGCCGATTCTTAGGATGGATTGATCCTCCCATGTGTGCACGATCTATGTTGATAATACCCGGATTATTGAGGAATATCAACAATGTAAACTATCAAGTGGCAAGATTGAAGATGTGTTTGTTTGCAAGTTGGTTACTATTTGTGGTGGTTTGGGTGCTTTTCATTTAGTAATAAGCAATTAGGGACCCCTGTAGTTGCATGTAATTTTTGGGTGTTTTTTGTCTTATGAAATTGTAACTAGGGAATGTGGTAGTTTTTGGTATTTGATAATGTAATATCAGTTTAGGGTTATTTTGGACAACTTCAGAAATTTGTAACCTTTTCAAGGATATAATGACAATGTATTGCAGTTATCACCGAATGTTAATGTATATTTGTTGTTTCAGAAAACAGTTCTTATAACCAAAAATGTGTTCCATAAACATGACAACCAACAGTTGGTATAAACCATAAACATCATTCTTCAACAATGACAAAAGGTTGACATTAGTTTCATGACCAAAAGGGCTAAAAGACCAAAATAAAACCATTACAACAAACTAGTTTTAAACCATTACATCCAAATGCACAAAAGTTGTGCTAAACCAAAAGATAAGTTTTTAAACAAAATACACTAATTCCTGCATTGACTGCTACCTCCATTCCCTCCTTGACTGCATCATGCATTCCCTCCTTGACTGCTTCCTGCATTCCCTCCTTCATTTCTTCCTGCATTCCCACCTTGACCTTGCACGTCCTTGAGTTATGACCCCTATTGTTGCATTTCCCACACCTAACACTAAAAACTTTCTGGTAAGTTTTTCAGGTTCACCTGCACCATGATTTGCATCTGTTTATCATATTTTTCATCTGCACTTCTCTTTCTCTTGGTGTTAGGTCTCCCAGGTTGATTGTGATGTGGTGGTGGTGTTAATTGAAATGGACAGGTACTTTTTGGCCACATGGCTCTACCCTTTATAGGGTCCACAGTGTAAGAGTAAGCTTCATTCCATGTTTGAAGCCAATACACTTTGTTAACATAAGTGTAAAGCTCCCCAACTTTGTCTCCACTATCAGCCATTTCATGTATTGTAGCTATGGCATGCCTGCATGGAATCCCATTCAATTCCCACCTTCTACATGTACATGACATATTTTTCATGTCAACCACATGCTGGTCATGCCAAGGACCATAAACTTCATACTTTGCAGTCCCATTCCATCTAGCTCTATATTGGACTGAAGCTTCCCTATTTCTCTCAAGTAACTTTGATGTGTTGGAGTGAGTGGACCTGGAGCTTTGGACATCACTTTCTTCACATTGCAAATCCTCTTCATAAGGTACTGCCTGATGTACTCAAGACAACTTATGATGGGCTTATTCCTACCATGAATAAGCTTACTGTTGAAAACCTCACATAAATTGTTGAGCAATATATCTGATCCTGCTCTGCCTGTATTAAACAAGAAAATTATATGAACTAAACCATATATAATGAGCACTAGTAAAGCTTCACCTAAGTTAGGGAATGTAACCTGAAAAGTGGCTTCTGGCCCAATGGTGAGG